GGTACCATCATATATATATATATATATATATATATATATATATATATATATATATATATATATATATATATATATAATAAGGATCAAATGAGAAGAGTGCTTATCGTAAGAAGTGAGAATGCATCTGGTGCGTTCATTTTAAGATCTGTGCATCGGATTAGCAAAAAAGTGCACGGGAAAGTGCAAAAAATATTTAAAAAATGATGCTAGACGCGGTGGCATTTTCGTAATTAATCGGAACTTTTCTGCCATCGCAAAAAGTGCATCAGAATAGCAAAAAGGTGCATCAGAAATAGGTAAATGTGTAACTTCTCACTTCTCACGTTAAGATGTCTTCTCATTAGAACTCGACCCTATATATACATATATGTGTCTATATATATTAGATTGAGATGAGCGACGGGTTATCAATGTGTTCTTTATAGATAGCATTTTGATAGATATATTCAAGTATTAATATAATTAAATAAATTAACTATTCAAGTCTAAGTGATTTTTCCTTAACTTTTGAAATTTCTAACGTATCGTGAATTTGATTTAATATATAAATTTTTAATAATTATTTTAAAATAAACTTTATGTAGATTCAATTGGTAACAACTTCTTACAAATAAAAATACATACTAGCTAATTAGGTTATTGCGGGGCGGGTCATGGGTCAAGAAGTTTGGGCCCGTGCATGTCACGGGGCGGGTCTGGGTCTTGCAGTACCCGCCCTGCCCCGACCCATTGCCATGCCTATCGCCAATTAAAGAGGCTGCTCACCAAGGTCGAAGCAACCTAAAGTGAAGCCCACCCAATCTAGCTCAACTATTAAGAGCCTAAGGGTTTAGAATTGGTAATGTCATCCTTAACAAAGGAAAGACAACCTTGATCGGAAATTCAAGGCAAAAATATGCTATGGACAGACGTGATTGAATACAGAAATCAGGAAGGCCTGAGGGCCATCATGGGACTTATAAATTGCACAGGTCAACTCCCCAGAGGACAAAAGTATCCAAGGGAAGAAGCCAGCCCGAATAGAGCCGGAAACCTCAAACAGTATTGAAGTACTAAACAGATCAAGTCAAGCAATCAGCAGAAATGATTATTCGATGAGTATTGAATTGATTTCAGTATAAATATTAGATTGAGATTTTTTTTAATTCTTAATATATTAATATGGGGCCTCGATTTTATGTTTGGAAAGAGCCTCCAAATTCATTAGACGGCTCTGCTCAACAGTTATAAATAAGATCTATACTTGTAAGGTTCATGTAATGCATACACTGAAATAAATTGTTTTTAGTTATACAAAAAATTATTGAACAAATACATACCCCGACGTATTATGTGGTACTTATTGAACAAATACATACACAGGCAACAGATGTATTAAGGATGGTCCACAAGTGAAAATAAGTTTCTCCATAAAAATTAGGAGGCATTTACTTCGCTGCTAAAGTCACAGTTAGGTTAGTAAGGTAGATGAAGTAAACACGTAAGTTGCTGAAAACTCTGCTTCCTAACCGAAAGTTGTGCTTAAAGTGCCACTTACTAAGCATATCACCCCCTATGTATTAATTAAGCGGCACTTTAAGCTTTTTCAGTTTCCAAATCTACCCTTACCTTTACCCTTTTCCCTTACCCTATTGCAACCCCACTACCCCGCCCTACCTTACCTTACCCTGACCCCCCGACCCCATCTGACCCCCAACCCACCCTTGACCCGACCATACCCCACCCCCACCCCCTCTAGTACTCCTTACCTTTATCCTACCCCGACCCTACCCTTTTACCGCTTACCACCCGCCCCTACTTCGACCCCACCCCAATCCCGACCCCACCCCTACCCCACATTCCTACCCCAATCCCGACCCCTCCCCCACCACCTTACCCAACCCCTACCCTACCACCCCAGCCCCTACCCCTACCCCGACCCTCCACCACATGCCCTACCCCTTTACCCCCTACCATATTCCCCTACCTGGACCCAACCCGACCCCACCCCCTACCCCCAACCATACCCCTTACCCCCACGCTACCCAACTTGTACCCCTTACCTCGACCCTACCTTTTTACCTCTACCACCTTCCCCTACATCGACCCCATCCCCGACCCCGACTCCACCCACTCCCAACCATACCCCGACCCCTACCCCTTTACCCCATATCACCTGCCCCTACCTCGACCCAACCCCTACGAGTAGGGTGGCAGGTTAGGGGTATGGGTGGGAGTAGAGGTGGAGGGTAAGGTCATGGTAAGGGTAGTGGTAGGAAAGGGGTGGGTGTCAAAGGTGTGGAATTGGGGGTAGGGTGAAGGGTGGGGGTACAGGGTGGGGTAGGGATTAGGGGTGTGGGTAAGCGACTAAACGTATGAAGTGACCCCACATATTATATTATATACTTGTGTTCATGAATGTTTGTGTGTGTATATATCTATAGGGTTATTTTGGACATTTTAATGTTAAACGGTGTTTTAAATCCTTTGAAGTAAACATGAACTTACAATATTGTTTATTTTATGCGCCGCTTATTAACGTGAGTCTTAATAAACACCGTTTACTAACCCGTGATGTAAACGTGTCCTTAGAGTTTTCGCTTTGTGCTTAACTATAGTTGCAAGTATTACAAAACCATGTCGTTTGGATAAGCTTTTCATCACTTAGAAATAGATGGATTAAATCTTTTTGTTTAAAAAACACGTGGAAATATATGTAATTTGTAATTTGTAAATATATGTAACTCTAGTTTACAATATTTAATGATAGAAATAAACAAGTGAATCTAAAAGAGTGCATTCCTCTATTTATGAATGTCATCGAGGTTCACTATCATAATGTAGTTTGCTCATATGGACGAACTGATCAAGATTCATGCTTAAAATGGACTCACGCATTTGAACCATTGACCCAATATTAATTTTGACCATTTACCCATTTGCTTTTACAAAAACTCTTCATGTTCCGAGCTTCATGGAACAACTGAATCTGACCGATCCCGAATCGGTGTATTTCCACCCTATATCATACCACTGAGACCATTTGGAGCGGTGGGAGAGTCCAAATATCAAAAATGGATTTTGTCCATATGAAAACAGTGTTTTGACTCATATTTCTCTGCATTCCAGTACCGTCAATAAAATACACTCTGCACATTTTTTTTATATATCAATTTAGTAAAACATTAATTAAATTATTATAAGTAATGTTTTTATGTTAAATCCCACACCGGAAATGTTTGAGTCATCGAAGTGCTATATTAAGACATGGGTTACTCCTCCTATCAGGTTGACCTTTTAGGATGGAACCTCGTGTCTTTACATGGTATCAGAGTCAAATCGATCCATGATGTGGACCCCCTTATGAAAAATGATTGACATGATTATTAAAAAAATGACAATGACGAATTGACGAAAAAAATGAATGACGACACGATCCAGACAAAGAGTCTGATCATGAGGAGGGGTGTTAAATCCCACACCGGAAATGTTTGAGTCATCGAAGTGCTATATTAAGACATGAGCTACTTCTCCTATTAGGTTGACCTTTTAGGATGGAACCTCGTGTCTTTACATTTTCTTTTAATTTTTTCTCTGATGAACTATAAAATAAAAAAGACACATTTCGATGTAAAAATAAATAAATTTCATTAATAATTTTTTTTTACGTTTTTCAGACAAAATATTAATTAAAAATAATGGAAAAATAAAATAAATTATTTTAATCATTGAATTTCAATTTCAGTCGTTGGATCAATTTTTTCCCCATTCAAACAGTGTCCAAATCATCACAACAATTGGAGCTACCAATATTTTTAAAAATGAGTGCTATGTAACATCAACACGAAGTCAACCTGACATCAACACCCTAAACATTTCCTGGCACATCCCAAATAGCCACATGGCCCACTAGCCTTTTCTTCCCTTTTTCCCCTCTGCACACCACATGTGGCGCCCCCACCCTTTCCCCTTTTTTTAGCCTCCCTCCTTCCACACCCTTCATATATACCCCCTCCATCCGCTTCTCCATTTTTACTCCCCCATTTAGCCAACCACAACAATAATTTAGGAGTCCAAAAATACCACTTTTAACATTTTGAACTCCTAATACCTCACCACTAGGGATGACAACGGTGCGGATCGGGGACGAGTGCACATAAAACCGAAACCGTCCCGTTGGATAAATGTTTGCCCCGAAACCGCCCCATTACCCGTTCGGGTAATTTTTATTTGAACCGTAACCGCCCCAACGGGGAATCGGTTTATCCACGGGTAACCGTGTGCCCAAATGATACCAAATAACCAATTTCTAATCCTACTTGTTAATGTAAACATCCTTCGTGATAAATTATAAATTATATATTCAAAGCACCATAAACATACAAAAGTAAATATTCAAGCAATCAAGCAGTTTTAGATCTAAATTAATTAGTATGACAAGCACCCAATATCTGTTGTATTATAATAAAAAAGTAGTAATCATCCCAGAATCTAAATTTAATAAACAATTTTAAGCCTAAATTTAGTTTGAGCTCTAAAAAAGTAGTAATCCGTCTCAAAAAACAGATTTATTAGGCCTAAATTCATTACGCCATTAAATTAACTATGAGTTAGGAATGTTAGGGTTTTTGAAGTGAACCTCTAGTGTATTATTCTTAATATACTTATATGGTATCTACAATTTAGTGTGCACGAGTTAGCATATATGCTTATTATTCTTATATATAAAGAGTTATAATTTATTAATAATGTTACGGATGGGTAACAGTGCGGGTACCTGCACCATTAGTGAACGAGGTGGTTTCGGGGCAGATAACGGGGCGGATTAGTATAGAACCATAACCGCACCAGTATCCATTTAAAAAAACCGGGTATTCCCCGCCCCGTACCCGTTCCCCAGTCAAACCGGTTTTCCCCATTTTGACCAAATCAGTTCGGTGCAGGTATCCAACAGGTCAGCCGAAATTGCCATCTCTACTCACCACTCCAAATGGTCCGAGTATGTTTGACCATAACATGATGAAATTGTTCATGGAGTATGAACTATTAAGTAATGAATGGTAAATTTCATCCACGGTGTAAACTAGGTTGGGTTATCTAAGTTGCATGAAATGTACAATCACCATCCATCCATACATGTACAAACAAAATTAGGCACACTGTTTCAACAAAACAAAATGGTTGACCTATAGGCATTGAGCATCTCATTGATACTCCATTTGCAGGAAGCAGTCGAAAGAGGATAGCCGAAAAAGAAGTCTACAGAAATCTATTACAACAATAAAGTAAAGTGGATGATACTCCTCCATTCACAATGCTCTTCAAGCTCCGTAGAGAAATTTATGTTACTACGTAGAGGTTGCCTGATCAGGGAGCGTAGGAACTTTCCTAAAGACGTGCTTCCTGCACCGCTCAAATATGCTGTCATATATCAAATCAAATTGAACTCCAGCTCTTTCCCGATTTACAATGAAAAGAATATGATCACCTTCGACAATCTTATAATACCTGTACCCCAATCAAGATTATTAATCATCTATAGTTTGCAAACCATATAGCAATTGAAGATGTAGGTTTTCCCATGGACAAGGATTCTTTTTTCTTGTCTCACTTTGGTCAAAACAAAAAGCATCAAGTGCAAAAAGAGTGTCAATGAAAACTGGGCATAGAGTATAACTTATATTGCCAACCCATAATAATTGCATTGGATCAATAAATGCATACCAGATGCCTGGTTGTAATGGCTGGCAGTCAGAACCCTTCCCAACATTATGACTTGGATGTTCAACAGGCAAACGCGGGTGAGTCATTGATATAGTGTTTAATGCTCCATCATTGTCCCACCAGTCTTCATCCCTATGTGTGCATAAACAAGTAAATAAGTGTCATAATGCAACTTGCAAAACAGACAAATAGACAATTTTAGTCCTGTCATGTAGTGTCTAATGATTGACCATGACTGCCGAAGTTATCTGCTCCATCCATAACAAAAGAATTTTCCCATTTCTAAATCTTCTCATCGTGCCCTCAACAATTTTGAAAATAATACACTATTACAACTACTTTTTTTTGGATTTAACCTTCATTCCATCACATTATTCCACTATTTCCCATCATCCCCTCAATAATTTATATCATCTTTCACTATTCTTAATCTATGTACTTTTGAAATGGGAAGGTTTTTAAGTTAAGGAGGGAGTATTTCTCTTAAACAAGTATCGTCAAAAGGAATAGGGAGGGAAACTAAGATTATTCTAAAGGATTTTAATTACTCATTGGTTTGTGTAATGATGATGATGATTGGTTTGTGTGTGAACTAAAATAATGCCTTATAAACAGGACCAGAAACACCTAGACGTGCCAAGCACGGAAGCACAATGTAGTTTGACTGCGTTACTATTACTTTTTTCAAGGGAAGGTCCTAGGCTCCAAGTCCCATCAAAACAGGGTTAGAACTTAGCAGTTAGCTGTATGTTGAACAAACACTGTTGATAGGTTTGAGTGGATGCAAAAACAAAAACAAAAACAAGTAGTTATATGTATAGAGTGGGCCAAAATGATAAAAGAAACACATACCTATAACCTTTGTAAGGTGGGGAGACATCAGTTGGATATCGCCATATGCACATCTGAAGTACTCTGAGAAACAGTAGAGGATGTATCCCACGTATGCCAGAAGGGACTGTATAGCCCATCAATTGTCTTGTTCTTTGTGTGGCATAGCTGAAGTAGTATGTGTTGGGAAATGTATGTAAGTGGGTGTTAAGTCTGATAGCACCCTGGATAGTAAGGTCAGGAAGTATCCAGTCCCCTGAAGCAAATGGACCCGCATTGCCCAAAAGACAATCAACAAGACCCCAAATACCACTTTCCTTCCAAGAGATGTTGAAATGATCAAACCCAAAGTTATAGTATTCCTTCAGCCAGGGTATGTCAAACCAATCATAAATTATCACTCCAATGCGGCAAAGCTGGAGTAGGCAGATGTGTTTCAAAGATCTCCCATCTTCAGGTCTGTTTTAAAATAAAAACTGTAAAGTTAATATGCTATTCAATTACCTTAGACTTATAGATTACCCAAGCCTAATGGATTTTTCAAATACTTTAGTTCAATATTTTAATATGCTATTCAGTGTTTCTAGACTCTAGTACAGTATAAGATGCAAAGTTAAGTAGTTAACACTTCAGGATTTTAAGATAAGATTGTCACATTGGTGATCAAGTTAAAGAAACAATAGGTACGTTGTCGATAGAACATTTTAAGGACCTCTTAAAACCATACATAGTACGAAGTATTAAATAGAGTTTTACTGAAGTGTACACTTGGGGCACATGATAGAAGGACATTTAATGAGCATTTAATGGTAACAGTTTTCATTCTTGATAACGGTGATAAATGTATAAACTTTAGTGCTCCGTAATACTGATGTCAGTTTTATAAACCACGTTTATTTTCTTTTAAAAAATAAATCTTTTCTTGGAATTGAAGAATGAAGCACCATAATTCTTCTTTATAACGTGTCTATGGCCTATGGTAGAATATAAGAATAAAAGGCATCCAGAAACTCACTGCATTCCATCTTGGTAAGTTCTTGTTGTGCCATTGAAAGCTCCAGATAATGATGTTATGCTTAAGACCCAATTCTCTGAGGTACTTCCATGCCCCTTGAATGCCTACGATTATAAAACAACTCTCTTTGTTAGGCACATAAACTAATGACACAAAAAAGGATGACGACTCATCCCTAAGGCTCCCCAAACAATTAAACTAATGACACAAGATTATCTTTTAGGCATTGCAGTCCATGAGTTGATTATTACTCTCCTTCCTTCAAAGAAGTTCCTACTTTGACTTGCACTCATATTTATGTAAGCTAATACGGAGTATTTTGTTTTACCTTTCTAAATGTACTCTTATTTTATGTCAAATCAAGCAAAAGGTAGACAAGAAGTAAAGGCAGGTGTCAGTGTGTGACATTTTCTATTTCAAGAAATCTTTTTATAGAAATTACGGAGTAAAATTTTATTTTTGGATATTCAAAAAAGTAAAGAGGGAACTTCTTTTGAGACGGAGTATTATATTGAGAGGAAAACCTTGTCAGCAAGCATTTGCTGAAGAACACGAGCAACTTGTGCTCCAGCAGAATGTCCCACAATGTGAATTGGATGATCCTCATCCCACTCAGGGTAATGTCCTGAGAATCGAAAGGGGCCACACCAAATAAGCAAGGAACAGTAGAACCATTAGTTGAATGTTTTACAAGAATGAAAATGCAGATATTAAAATTTCACAACCTTGTTCATAAGTTCTTCCGAATTGAGAATGGCCACAAGCCCTGCTGTGTTCTTCCCCATAATCAACCTGACCTCCTTTCAAATAGTAAAACAATTCTCGAGCCCTGAAACCCTAACTCTATCATATAAATAAATAACAAAAGCCAGATTGATCATTATCATTTTAAGGCCTTACCCACCTATCATAAACACTAGTCAATGACCCCAAATCAGGCACAAGAACCCGTTCATCTTTCTTCTCTGCTCCAGCAAAATAAGACATCCCACCCAATCTCTACAACATATTGAAGATCCCAGATTCAACAAAATGGAAAACTGGAAAAGTCGAGCACTATAATCATGAAAAAACAAACAAAAGGAAACGCATACCCCTTTTCCAAAACCAAAGATTCCATGCACCAAAACAATGGGAGGCAAATCATTGGCGCTGGCTGTCCGATTTAACTCTTCGGCTTTTAACCCACTGTCCACCAGATTGGGCTTGAAAAACCAATCACTCAAGGTCTGAGAGATATCACCGGCCACAGCCGTGCTGAATATATAGAACCCATAAGCCAAATGAACCAGAGAGGTCACAAATAGCTCTGCCAATTGCAGTGTTGTTATCCACCATCTTATCATTTTCAAAAGATCTCTTCTCGACAAAGAATATATATGATCCCAGAAGCCTTCTTCTAGAAAAAGCGAAGAAGGCTAGTTGGGACAAAAGTGTAGAAAACTCAATCTGTCGGCAGAGAATGGATTGAAAGTGTGAAATCCAAAAAATTGGACTTTCGATCCAGGGATTCCACAACGGCCTGAAATTGAGAGTTGACGAGATGAGCAAAAGGCGAGAAATTTGTGACCGCTTTTCTTTGTGATCTCAAATGGAAATGGGATTGCTGGCTTTTCTGTTGGTTGGGCGGAACAACGAACAGAAAAGGGAATGGGTAATGTTTTCCACAAGTTTCTCGTTGCTCAACCTTACGTTACACGCTTTTGACCAATCCAAACTCTCTATTTCTAAATTGTGATTGGTGTGGCAGAGGGGCCCCATTTCTCTCCATATAGGCCTCCATAACAGATATATCTTTCCATTTAAAAAATATATGAGATTAAGAATAGTGAAAGGAGATACTTCCTCCGGTCCCAAATGAAATTCACATTTTTACTGCACACAAATTAAGGATGTAGATAATTTGCCAAATAAGGAAGAGAGAAGAAGTGTGAAGTTTATTTTGGACTTATCCAAAAAGGAAAGCGTGAATTTTATTTGGGACCGGAGGGAGTATAAGTTATTGAGTATATGATGGGAAGATAATGAAATAGTGTGCAAGAATGAAGGATAAATCCAAATAAAGTAGTTGTAATAGTGTATTATTTTTAAAATTATTGAGGGTATGATAGGAAGATTTAGAAATGGAAAAATACGAATGTTACAGCTAAAAAAGGAAAGTGGGAAGATGTGAGTGTTACGGATAGAGTAATTAAAATATTACTCCGTATTTTACCATGAACTCTTATAACATTCTGTCCTCTAAAAACATTAATAATTTTAGGTTGGATAAATCTGTTTTAATATATATGAAATATTTTATTAACAAAAAAATTAAAAAATACTTCATATGGATAAATTATATATATATATATATATAAAATTTATATATATGTATATATATATATATATATATATAAATTATAAATATATATATATATATATAAATTTTATATATATATATATATATATATACTCCATATATATATATATATGAAAAAACTCCGTCATGAGAGTGTTGTGGTAGGCGCGTGACGGCTAACAGTATCACTTAGTCACATCACATGACATGAATCGAAATATGAATATCGCTACAGCTAGGTCATCGCCCGTAAGCGACGCGTCATCCCTCCGTCTGGGGGTGGTGTCAAATGAGCAAGGGCGCGCTACACTTCATAGGCCTGGGTGTGGTGATAAGAATGCTAAGGCTGCTAGGTCGTCGCCCGAAAGCGATGTGTCACTCCAATGTCCGGGGATGGTGTCAAATATGCAAGGGCATGGTGGGGGTCGATGTGGGGTGAAGAAGAGAAGAAGGCAGGGTGTTAGATTGCGCTTTGGGACATGGAATGTTGGCTCTCTTACGGGAAGATCATCTGAGATAGTCGAGGTTATGAAGAGGAGGAATATCAGCATAATGTGCATGCAAGAAACTAAGTGGGTTGGAGAAAAGGCACGCGAGATTAATCCTGGAGGTTTTAAGCTTTGGTACTCGGGGAGAGAGAGAAACAGAAATGGAGTAGGCATTATGGTGACACATGATTATGTTGACGGTGTGGTTGAAGTGTTTAGGAAGAACGATCGCATCATGAGCATTAAGTTGATAATAGGGGATGAGATCGTGTCCGTGGTTAGTGCCTATGCACCACAAGTGGGATTGGATGCATCTATCACTCAACAATTTTGGGAGGATCTTGAGGAAGTGGTGCGACGAGTGCCAAGGGGAGAGAAACTGGTCATAGGAGGCGACCTCAACGGGCATGTGGGCCCAAGTCGTGATGGTTTTGAGAGTGTCCATGGCGGACATGGTTTTGGCACTAGAAATGAAGCGGGATAGAACATTCTGGATTTTGCCTCGACATATGAGTTGGCTGTGATGAACACTTGGTTCAAGAAAAGAGACTCTCACCTTATCACCTATAGAAGTGGAGCTAATAGTACCCAACATGACTACTTTTTAGTACAGACGACTTGGAGAACTAGCTACACTGATTGTAAGGTTATCCCAGGTGAGAGTGCTGTCACTCAGTATAAGATGTTTGTGCTTGATTTTCGAGGTAAAAAGATGGGACGAGTTAAGGTACAAGGGGAGCCAAAGATAAAATGGTGGAGGCTCGAGGGGAATCTCCAACAAAGTTTTGCACACAAAATGTTGGAGGAAGATGTTTGGTCTATTGATAATGACGCACACGTGGATGATGTGTGGTTATCAATGGAGTCCACCATTAACAAAGTGGCGAAGGAGATACTCGGAGAATCTAAAGGATGTCTGCCACCAAAAAAGGACACATCTTGGTGGAATGATGAGGTGAAACAAGCAATAAGGGCCCAAAGAGAATGTTATAAGAAATTGGGTAAAAGTTGGAGCGACGAGAACATAGAGGAGTACAAAGAGGCTAGAAGAAGAACAAAGAAAGCTGTGAAGGAAGCCAAAGGAAAAGTGAATAAGGAATTGTATGTAAAGTTGGATTCTAAGGAAGGAGAAAAAGATATCTACAGACTTGCTCGCCTTCGTGACCGTAGGACTCAAGATATCGGAAAAGTTAAGTGTGTGAAGGATGTCGATCAAATGGTATTAATGGACGACGAAGAAATAAAAGAGAGGTGGAGGTCATACTTTGATACCTTGTTCAACGAGAATAAAGTCCAAGGTATTGATGATACTATACCAGAGTGTATGGTAAATAGGGACTTCGTGAGAAGGATTCAAACAACAGAAGTTAAAGAGGCAATGAAAAAATGGGCCGAAAGAAAGCAGTGGGCCCAGATGGCATACCGATCGAGGCTTGGAGAAGTTTGGGAGAGAAAGGCATCGAGTGGCTAACACGTTTCTTCAACATGATTTGGAGAAACAACAAAATGTCAGTGAGTTGGCGGAAGAGTACTCCCATTCCCTTATTTAAAAATAAGGGTGATGTACAAGAATGTCCTAACTATTGAGGGATTAAGCTTATGAGTCACACCATGAAACTTTGGGAGCGAGTGGTTGAGCAAAGACTGCGTAAAAGTGTGAAAATTTCATAGAATCAATTTGGTTTTATGCCTGGACGCTCAACAACTGAGTCCATTCACCTTCTTAGACAAGTTGTGGAGAAGTATAGAGACACTAAAAAGGATTTGCATTTGGTGTTCATTGACTTAGAAAAGGCATATATGATAGGGCACCTCGAGAAGTTCTTTGGTGGGCCTTAACTAGAAAAGACATATCACGTAAGTATATCAGCATCATCATGGATATGTATGATGCTTGTACTACAAGTGTCCGTACTAGTGTAGGGAGGACCGCAGAGTTCCCTATTACTATTGGAGTGTACCAAGGATCTGCTCTGAGTCCTTTCTTATTTGCTTTAGTCATGGATGAACTTACGAAGTCAATTCAAGAAGATATACCATGGTGCATGATGTTTGCCGACGATATTGTATTGATTGATGAGACACAATCCGGTGTTAAAGCAAAGTTGGAAGTATGGTGACAAACATTGGAGAGCAAGAGTTTCAAACTGAGCCAAAGCAAGACTGAGTATATGGAGTGCAAGTTCGGTGGAGGTAGAAGTAGTAGCAACAGTGGGATTACTCTTGATGGTAAGGAGATACCGGTGTGTGATATGTTCCGTTACTTGGGATCCATAATTCAAAAGGATGATGAATTAGATGGAGATGTATGTCATAGAATCAGAGCTGGGTGGATGAAATGGAAAAGTGCTTCAGGATTTCTATGCGATCGAGGTATGCCGACTAAACTGAATGGTAAATTTTATCGTATAGCAATTAGGCCGGCATTAATGTATGACATAGAGTGTTGGGCGGTGAAACAATGCCACATTCAAAAGATGAGTGTGACAGAGATGCGATGTTGCGTTGGATGTGTGGACATACCAGAAAAGACCGCCTGAGGAATGAGGTAATCAGACAAAAGGTGGGAGTAGCACCTATAGAAGATAAGATGCAGGAGTCTCGTTTGCGGTGGTTTGGGCATGTGCATAAAATACCGAGTGATGCACCTGTTAGACGACTTGAGGAGTGGGGAGAAGAGTCAGAGAAGAGAGGGAGGGGAAGAGCCAAACAGACTTGGATTAGAGTAATCAGAATTGATATGCGTCTTCTTGGGTTGGATGAGATTATGGGTTTGGAGAGAGCAAAGTGGAGGGCGCACATCCATGTGGACGATTGATGTCTTGTCTACCTTTCCTCTCATGTTTCTTTTATCGTTTATCTTCCTTATCTTTTTATATTCTTATGTTATTTTTATCTTCTAGCTTTTTTATGCTCTTCTATTTATTTTTCTTTTTATCTTGGTTATATTCTTGTGTTATTGTTATCTTATATTTATGTATCTTTATTTTATTCATTTTATCTTACTTTTTTTTCCTTTTCTTGTCCACCTTCTCTTTTTGGCATCGATATCATAGATCGATTCATGTTAGCTTACCCCAAATTCTTTTGGGATTAAGGCTTGGATGTTGTTGTTGATATATATATATATATATATATATATATATATATGTATATATATATATATGTATATATATATATATATATATATATATATATATGAAAACTAGATAAAATAATCATAATCATCCATTTCGACCAATTCAGCAAAAATATAATTATACTTTTGATTGTTAGATGATTCACTATGCAAAATTAAAGATTGCATATCTAGTATAAATAAAAGTTCCATAACAAGCTAACAATTGGAATTACAAAACCGACTCTATATAATAACTTTATATAATATTACATACTAACTCAAATTAGGATAGAAGAAGATTTAGAACATGTTTGATGATTCTATTTTTTGGCTTATCGTTTTTCTCAGTCAAAATTTTCACCAAACACTGTGTAATAATAAGAAAAGTAAGGTTGAAATTAATTTTCTAGATGTATTGGCTGAACTTACTGTAGATGATCATTTTAGTTGTTTTTTATATTTTTTAATAGAATATATTCTAAATATAATTTTTTTTATAAAAGAGCAGAATCGGTGGATCCAGCCACTTTGACCAGAATTACATAAATTTCAATAGAATCAGCAAATACAATCGATTTGGGTAATACCAGACGGGTTCATAGTGTTGTAGTTATTTGTTGTTATTTGTGTGTTTATATTTTGATTGGGGTTAATAATTTGATTTAGCTAACGAGATGTAGGAGGCCTAAGGGTCAATGTGAATTTCACATCCCATCTGACAGTATATTTCTTGATTGAAATCCTATTTCCTCGCACTCCGAATAATCCATGGATATACAATAATACGAGTCTGAACACACAAG